TTACTCGAGAAGTGCCCTATGACACGGCTTAACTCAGCTAATCGGTCTTAAAGTGTAACAGAACGGTTCCTGGTACTAAATTGCAAGAAATTTCGTATTGTACATGATCGATGTCGATTCGACGTCGATTCGAGACAGGGGCTTCCCCTGACTGTACAGTTAGCTCTCGCTGGTGACCCGCAACGCCAAAACAACTATAGTGTGGAGACGTATTCGGTGAAGCGCGGGAGGTATCCGTCACGGACTTCAACTCCTGCAGTAATTTTTGAATATGATGGCGACGCGGGTGCCTACGGACACCAACAGTCGCTATTGAACTTAGCTCAACCGTTGAAATCCGTCGATAAATTCGATGAAGTGTCGAAATAGTCGATGTCGAAAAATCGTCGATTTGCGGGACAAAATCCCGTCGATTCGACATTTGGAATCGACAATTTTTGGACCTGCCTAATCGACGTCGATTCGAGGTCGATTCGACCACTGATTTCTCACTGGGATATGAGAGCTTGCACGGGATAAACTTGGCTATTAATTTCGTGACGCGTTGTTGTGTTGCGCCAACGTCAGCGCCTGCACCGCTCCGGTTAGGCAGTCCCGCCGAGCAGCCGCGTGGAGCCGGCGGCCCGCCCCGAGCTCCACCAGTTACTTTACAGGGTGGGAGATACAGTTTAGCGTCCACACGTTTCGCTAAACTAACGCGGACTCGAGGAGAAACGTTCATCAGTGGGAACAGCGAGCAGCGTTTCCGCTAACTCCCATTCATACTGCGTGGGCGTCGAGACCGACAATGACCAGCCCCCAACGGCGCATAAAAACAATAAGAAGTTAGTCCCTCTCTCTCCCCCTTTATCCCTACACCCCCCCCCTCCCCAATCTCTCTCTAACACACACTCACACACACCACACACACGTGCGCGCGGGTGGCGCGGGCACGCTCGCCGGTACAGTAGGGTTGGGGAAATCCCCGCGTGTCTGTCTGAAGGGGGTTTGGGGCGGTTCGCAGCGGGGAGCCTCTAGGAGGGGGGCCGGGTGCTTTGGCGCGATCTCCTCGCGCACAAGACCGGGTGCAAACTGCGATGCGGCTGGTCCGGGCTCCAACGGGGTCATCCGCAGAGAGCATCCTCGTCTCGATCCTCGTGCATCCACCCCTATGCTATGACGGAAGGGCGGCCGAGGGAGGGGGTGGGGTGGCGGAAACTTCCGTGACAGATGACCAGGAGGAGCGGAAGCCGGGGGAGCTCGTCGTGGTCCTGGCCGTGTAGTAGGTACCGGCACCGGCCCACCTCGCGTCTGGCGTGGCAGATGGCCCCGCGAGGCAGGCGGCTAGGCGGCTCTCTATTGGCAGCGACGGCGAGAGTCACAGGCGCGGCGGATTGGCGACGCGCTCGGTTTCCCTCCCGAGAAGCAGGGGTGGGTCTGACGCGGAGAGAAGAGGCTGAGCAGAGGCTGAGCAGAGGCTGAGCAGAGGCTGAGCAGAGGCTGAGCAGGGGCTGAGCAAAGGCTGAGCTCCACTGACTCTCTGTGCTGAGCGGCTAGCGGCTGACTTGGGCAATCCGCTTCACTTTTACACGGCCCGTGTCAAGTCCGCGGGGGTAAGCCGGGGGTGATCCGAGACTAATCCTCGGGTAATCCAGGCATAATCCGGAGGTAATCCGGGCAAAAGAGTGGTCCGTTGTAGACGCGATCTCAGAGTCATTTCCCCCTCGCCGCTGAGCGGCGTTGGCGTGGCGAGGCGGACTGGGGGGTACGGCGAGGAGCAGGAGTCAATACCCTCTCAAAGCCTCGCACCGGCCCGCCGGCTGTCAGCCCCGACAGCTAAATCAAGACCCTGGGCACCCCAGAGCGCGCCAAAGCAGCGCCGGCGCAGACAGCCCCCGCCGGAGTGAGTCTGCACGGGGGAGAAAGTCACCCGGAACTCATGAACATCCTTAACCTTCGCGCTGGCTCGCCGGAGCGCAGCGGTGGCTTGGTCAAGGTGATAGCGTATTGGCAGGTAAGTAGCTCAAATCTGCTGCTCCATTAAAAAATGACGTCAATGACACCCCGGAAATGTTGACTGCGGTGTCAGCTAGGGCACGGTCAGGCGGGGCACTTTGCGCTCCCCGCGACGTTGCACCCGCCCCGCCCCGCCCCGCCATGCCACGCCACGCGCTTTCTGCAAATAGCGTACTTGGCGGGTGCGCCAGGCCCTTGTCAGCTTCCGACATTACGCGTGAGGGCGGTAAATTTACCTCGACCGCGTGGTTTTGGCGGATATGCGCCGCGTGCCTGCCTGCCTGTCTGTCGCCGCCTGTCTGTCGGCCCGGCCGGTCCGTGCTGATGCGACACAGACGCGTCTCTTCGTTCAACGACCCTTTGCATCTCGACTGGGAGAGTAGTAATAAATAATAGATAAATGACAAAGCAATTTTTTATGCCCAACTGCCTCTCTGCTACTGTTTCACATCGAGAGGATGTGTGGGTGGTCCATTGATGTAATAAGCACGGCGAGAAAGCCCCTGTACCACATCTGTTCAAGGTTTGAACGCTTTTGAACGCTTTGCAAAAGTTATACAGGGAGGTGGAAGGCCAAGGGCGCACGGCGGTGGCCGCCCTGTCCGGAACAGCTGCGGTGGGGGGGGGGCCTCACTGGCTCTCTTTGTGGGTGAAATAGCGGTCGTCTCGTCTCAGGACGACACACCGCAGCGCAAACAACAGCGGGCCGCCCCGTCCCCACTGCACCCCCATGCGCGGCGCACCGCGGGCAGAACAGGCCGCGGCGAGGCGTACGTCTGCACGTCGCCGGCCCGCGCGTCTCTTGCGACGGCGCTCGCGGCTTCCCATGCTTGTTTACACGCGCGAGGCCAAAAGAACCAGGGTCATGGTTCAGGGAAGCGGCGGGCGGCGGCGCGGCGCCTCCGCCTCAACCCCCGCGGGCCCGGGGGGCAGCGGAGCAGACAGCAGACGCCCTCGGCTGTTACCATGCTGTCGTCCTGCGACGCGCACGGCTGCAGCCCCCGCAGCCTCGCCGGGGTGCATCTCGGCACCAGAAAGACGCTTTCTTTGTCACTTCGCTGTCCGCGGCCGCTACCCCATGCCCATGACAGCAGGTCGTCCTCCGTCTCCTTCAGGAATACCCGCGGCCCGTCCTGCCGCACCTACCTGACGACTCGCTCGGCTGCGCTTGGCGTGGCCACACGTTATTCCTGGCCGTGTGTGGCCGGGGTCCCGCAACCACTCCTCACCCACCGCACCCCCTTAACCCCTTTCACCCCCTGCAACCCCTCCCCCTCCCCCTCACTCCCTGCCCTGCACAGAGCACGCCGGCTGGGCCTGGGCCGGGCACGGAAGAGCAGAGGGGTGCAAAAAGAGGTTGGCGGTCTATTTCGATCGGGGCGGCCCGCCCGGCCCGGCGGTGCACGGTGCATGCTGCGTGCTGCGCGTGCAACGAGAAGTGCGCTGCGAGTCACGGGGGCAGCCTGGACTTTACCTTCCTTCGCGTCCGACGAGACCTAAGGTCATTTAGTGAAGTAACCCCTGACGTCAAAGCGTCCACGAAAATATTTTATGGACCGAAACAAAATGACATATCGCTGAAAGTCCAGGGTGTATGTGTGATGCTGATGTTTGTTTTGTTGTTGGGCAGGACGCGAGTGGGCGCCAGGGCTGGTGCCAGCCGCCGCCAGGATGCCGACCGAGTGCATCTCCGAGTGCCTGCCCAACCCGCTGCAGCGGGAGCTGGCCGACTCCATCATCAGGATGGTGCCGCTGGACGACATCCGGATCCTGCTCGCCTGCGGCGCCAAGGTGACACAAAATAAGCGAGGGGTAGAGGCAGTTTTGGAGACGGTCTGAAATGCGCTCCGTGGTCGACACGACGTCAAGCCGCTCTCTAAACACGGCTGCGGTGCTGCTGCAGGTGAACGAGCCCGTGACCCAGGGGCTGCGCCCGCTGCACTACGCCGTCTGGCAGCGCTACCCGGAGGCCGCCATGCTGCTGCTGGTGCGCGGCGGGGACGTCAACGCCCGGGACGAGTGCGGCTACTCCGCGCTGCACCTGTCCGCCGAGCACGGGTAGGTCAGCCTGACCGGTCAGCTCCAACTCACGCAGGGTGTGTGGACCCTGATAACCGGCACCTTTCCGCCCTCAGGTACACGGAACTCGTGAAGCTGCTGCTGCTGCAGGGCGCGCGCGTCGACTACCGCGAGGACACCGACGACCCCTTCCCCAGGACCACGCTGTGCGACGAGCCGCTGCGGCTGGCGATCCGCAACGGACACCATGAGGTTGGTCTTCGAGTTCGAAAGGTCCAGGTCGAAAGGATACCGGCAGCAAATTAGAAAGAAAACAAAATGTGTGCAGAGGCAACTATAGGTTTATTTTTGACGGTGTAGTTAACATCAGTTTGTCGCAGCTGTCTAGGGACTAGCAGTCAAGGGGGTAGGCCACGGCGGAGTGGGCGATGGGCAGCGGGTAGGACACAGCCTTGACGAGGGGCGCGGCATGCACGTGGTGCACGACGGGCAGCTCGACGTGGTGGTGCACCGGGGTGAAGGTGGAGTGGCGGCTGTAGGTGTGGGTGTGGGTGCTGATGGGGGCGAGGCTGACGGTGCTCACGGCGGGGGCGGTGTAGGAGATGGCGGGGGCGGCGTACGAGATGGCGGGGGCGGCGACCACGGGGGCGGCGTAGGACGAGTACGACGAGTAGGTGCTGGGCCAGCTGTCCCAGAGCTGCCTGCGGCTGCGGGTGCCGGTGGGGCCGGCGGCGGCCACGGCGGCGAGAGCCAGGATGACGGCGACCTGGAAGAGCGGTGCGAGAGTTAGAACCGAGGACAGATAGGGGGCAGGGACGGCTCTGGACTAGCGGAGGACTCACCTGAGCCTTCATGGTGCGGGTAGTGGTCTTGGTGGAGCGGCTGCTACTGTCTGACAAGTCGGCCACTGGAGGGACTGTGCTCTGATCGGGACCGGGCGGGCTTATATATACCGAAACGGGTGACCCGCAATGCGAGTGAAACTGGGGGGCGATGAGCTTTGGTCCTGGTGGCCCTGCTTAGAGGAAGAGAGAGATGGATGCCCAAATGTGTGTGTGTGCGTGTGCGTGTGTGTGCGTCTCCATGTCTGCGTACAGCGCCGAGCCCAGTCATGTCATCTCCCGAGAGGAGACACAATAAGAGGACGACACAAATAAAGAAACGTCTCGCGCCTCGGAATCCAGGTGACGGAGCCGGGTCGGTGCCATGCCAAAAATGTGCGAGAGAGGATGATGGCGCTTACTGAGCCGGAACGGAAAGATAAGGGGTCTGATCGCTGTCTCTCGCTCGCTCTCTCTCTCGCTCGCTCTCTGTCCCCTCTCGCGCCACCTCCGTCTGTCTCGCTCTGTCGCGGGACACTCCGCTGTGCATAGTAATTGGGTGCGCGACAAGGTCACTCGATCTGCTCCGTTACGTTCTGAGGTAATCGCGAGTCTTCCCCGGGGGGGCAGGTGTTACATCCGGGCGGGACGGAGCACGGAGCAGACAAAACAATTCCAACGCGTTTTTGTTTACTTTTTTTAAAACGAATTTTACTTGTCGTTCCCACCAGGTTGCCCGTGTGCTGTTGGAGAACGGCGCGGACCCCAACAAGCGGTACTTCTTCGGCTCGGAGATCAACCTGGTGTCGCCGCTGGACCTGGACTTCATGCGGCTGCTGCTCACCTACGGCGCCAACCCGGACGCCATGGACCGCGCCGGGCTCACGCCTCTCATGAAGGCGGCGCGCCTGCCGCAAGGCATGGAGTCCGTGCTGCTGCTGCTGTCCTTCGGGGCCAACGTCAACGCGCAGGTGTGTGAGGGGTCCGGAGGAGTCAATGTGTGTTAGTCCTGGTGAACCTCCTGACGGGTGTGGTGCTGGTGCAGACGGACGAGAGGCACGACTACCGCTCGGTGCTGCACTACGCCGTGCTGTCGGGCAACCTGGCCACCGTGAACCTGCTGCTGCGCCAGGGCGCCAGGGTCAACTTCCCGCCCGACTACCAGAAGGCCACGCCGCTGCAGCTGGCCGTGCTCAAGGGGGACCCCGAGCTCGTGCGCATGCTCATCCACGCAGGTACAAAGCTGAGACGAGCGGAGCCGAGCGGAGCTCGTGTCACAGCGATGACAAGGGAATGTCACCGACGTCTTTCTGACGCTCAGGAGCCGACGTGAACGCGTCGTCCCCCATCATCGGCACGGCGCTGCACGTCGTCTGCGCCGACAACATCCCCAACCGCCTGGACCTGCTGCAGCAGCTGCTGGAGGCCGGCGCCGACCCCAACGTGCTCGTCGAGTCGGACGAGGGTCCGCCGCTGAGGCCAGTGCTCGCCGAGTACCTGGCTTCCAACGAGGCGCAGCCGTGCCCCGTGGTGGTCAGCATGCTCTTGCGGTACGGCGCCAAGGTACGTATA